CATCAAGGTAGGAGTCAACGGATGTGGCAAGAATTCTTATCAAAACAAGATACATCATGATTATGAAGGAAACATATAATACAGGAATCAACGATGATGTTTTCAGAATTAAGGTGGCGGAGAATCATCGTGGACTATTGAGAATTATTGTGGGGGAAAATATCAAGATTCATAATATAGTAATACTTCTAAATGGAATTCCGATGAAGATGTTGATGTCGGGAATCCATTCACAGTGGAGAAAGAAACTTCATTTTTCCAATAGTCAATAGGGATGGGTAGGGAAAGGACAATAAGGGCGGGAATCGAGGCATTTTAGGCAATAAATGAAGGTAATGGGGACCTAGTTGAAGGATAGATGGTGGCTGACTTAGGGCGGCCACAACAGAAAATGAAAGAAAAAAGTAAAAATTAATTATCAACCAATGAGATATGATTTGACAATTTGTTGTCAAAATACCGCCAAAATTCAAATAAGAAGGAATCAGGGGGCAAGGTCAACTGAATGCGATTTACTGGATCCAGTGGGTCACAATGTTATGGAGAATGAATGGTTATTTCTAAAAGCCTGAAACCAGGGATTGAAAAAAGCCCAGAGTGAGGGGGTGTAGTTAGAGGTGGCCCATAAAAAGCATACACTTAACTCCCTAAAAATCAAAACAACAACGGTACAAGAGGGAAATCTGTTATGTTTCAACCCTAATCAAGAGATTGATGGAGTTTCTTCACCAATACCTTCAGCTGGGGAACTCATTTGTTCAGACACCCAATCTAGCTCCAAAGTGAGAAGAGTAAGCTTAAGGTACTGGAGGAGGTGGATAAAGGTGTGGCAGTCAAAGTGTGGAATAACGTGAAGGACCTAGGAATTGATGGGGATGATAAAGAAGAGGTTTATGTGGATGCAATCAAAAATATGGAGAGAAAAAAGATAAATAGGCCAAGAAGGCTAGGGAGGCGAAAACATTAGATCATCAATGAATATTATGTCTTTCAACATAAGAGGGGGTGGAAGCCATTTTAAGAGGAAAAAACTCAATTGCATCATACAACAGAGGAAAGCGGATATGGTGTTTCTGCAAGAAACAAAATTACAAGCCATGGATGATGTGTTAGCAGCTAGCCTTTGGGGAACAAAGACATAGAGTGGAAAACAAAACATTCAAAAGGTGCTTCAGGAGGATTAATCACAATATGGAACAAGGGTTTAATAGAAACCATCTATAGTTTTCCAAAGGAGGTTGTTTAGGTGTTACTGCATACTTCAGAGGCCATGTATATGTATTTATTAACATTTATTCATCGTGTCTAATAGGGAAAAAGAGATTGTTATGGATTCATTTAGAAGCTTTCAAGTTGGGGGGTGAGATAGAGTACTGGTGTTTATGGGGATACTTCAATACCATCAAGGAGAAAAAAGAAATGTTAGGGAGAACTTATGGGACCGAGGGTGGTGAAATTAGAGAGTTCAATAATTTTATAAATAATTTTGAGCTAATAGATGTTCCTACAATAGGTAGCAGATTCACTTGGGCTAACAAATCTGGTAGAGCTATAAGTAGGATTGATAGATTCCTATTTTCAGATAACTTGATAGAAGCTTGGAAAATCATAGGACAAAGAGTAGAAGATAGAAACATTTATGACCATGTACCTATTTGGGTAAAATATAATGATGTACTAGAGGCAAAAACCCTTTAGAATCAACAATGGTTGGTTTCAGCATAAGGATTTTTTGAAGTATGTGGAAACAAAGTGGGAGGAATTTGTAGTTGTAGGGAGACATGCTTATGTTTCGAATGAAAAAAATTAAATTGTTAAGGAGTTGCTTAAGGGAATTGAATAAGGTGGTTTATGGGTGGCTAGATTTAAAAATAGAGGAATCATCAAAGGTTTACAATAACTTTGATGATAATATCAGTAGGAATGATGTAATTAGCACTGAGTTAACTGAGGAAAGAAGAGCAAAAGCTTTGGAAGAGTTTTGGAAGAAGCTTCACCTTAAGGAAAGTTTGTTGAGACAAAAATCAAGACAACGATGGCTTAAGGAAGGGGAACACAACTTCATATTTTTTCCATAATGTGATCAAAGATAGAAGAAGGAGAGGCAACTTAGCCTTAATTAAGAATAGGGAGTGAGTTGAATGTAAATATGTCATGGTTGTAAAGGAGGAGGTGGCATAGGTGTTTGAGGATAGATTTAAGGAGAATATAAAGTGTATACCATAAATCAGAAGGTTGTTTTTCAAGAATATATCGGAGGAAGACATGTCTAGATTAGAAGAGGTATTCAAAAGAGAGGAAGTAAGGAAGGTTATGTTGGAGTCTGATGGTGAGAAAAACCCAGGTCCATATGGACTTAACTTTAAATTTTTGCAGTAACGTTGGTCTTTTTTGGAGGAGGACTTGGTGAGATTTGTAGGTGAGTTTCATGTAAATGCAAATCTACCTAAGGCTATTACTGCATCATTCATTTCCCTAATACCAAAGAACAACAATCCCCAGAATTTGAGAGAGTATAGACCAATATGTCTAGTGGGGTGCCTATACAAGATTTTGGCCAAAAACTTTGCAGCTAGATTAAGGATAATTCTGGGGGGAATCGTTTCACCATGCCAGATTGCTTTTGTCCCAGGCAGGAAAATATTGGATGCAGTGGCAGTACTTAATGAGATGATAGATTTTGCAACTAGAGAGAAAAGAGAGTGCTTTATTTTGGAGGTGTATTTTTCACAAGCCTATGACTCTGTCAACTGGAGTTACCTTAGAAAGATGTTAGTCACCTTTGGGTTTGGTACAAAATGGAGCAGGTGGATGAAGGTATGTGTGTTCAATAGTAGTATGTCAATATTGGTGAATGGTAGTCATTTTAGAGATTTCAATGTGGCTAGGGGTCTTAGGCAAGGTGATCCACTGTCACCTTTCCTATTCACCTTATTAACTGAAGGGGTTAACATGACTAGTAAATAAAGTAGTTGAAATTGGAACCTTTGAGGGATTCAAAGAAAGTGACAACATGGAATATAAAGTATTATAGTTTGTAGGTGATACTGTGCTAGTGGGGGTAAGAACTAGGAATAATCTATGGAGTATCAGATCAATTCTCAGGGGGTTTGAGATGGTTTCTAGTTTGAAGGTGAAATTTTTTTAAAGTAAGCTCTATGGAATTAATATTGATAAGTATTTCATGGTAGCAGCTTCTCAATTACTCTCACGTTGCATTGATTAAGTTCCTTTAAATTTTTTGGGAATTATGGTGGGGGAAAATCCTAAGAGATGTAGCTCTTGGAAAACTGTGGTGGATGGCTTAAAGAATAAAATATCAGGTTGGAAGGCTAGGAATCTATCAATTAGAGGAAGGGTGACCTTGCTAAATTCCATTTTGAATAGTGTACCAATATATGTCATGTCATTCTACAAAGCCCAAAAAAAAGCATTCACCAAATTATTCAAATCCAAAGCAGGTTTTAGTGGAATGTGTAGCGCCTCAAAAATATTCGAACAATAAAGTCGCCACCGAGATTTATTTATTCCAAGAAGAAATGGAAAATATCAAATAAAACCCACGAAAGCAAAGGAATGGTCGTCGAGATCAAAGAGAGGGTTCGAGAGTAGGTTATGCAAGGGGAAGGTATTAGCACCCCTCACATCCATCATACTCGATGGTACCCATTTAGTTACTTTGTTTCGAGTGTTAGTATGAAAATTTGTGATCTTCTAATTAAAGGGTAAAGAGATAAAGGAGAAATGTTTTTTGATTTTTTATTATTGTGCTCACCAAGCCATCGCATCTTGTGCCTACGTATTCGCTCGTGCAATGGAAAAGTCGGAGCGTAGTAGTTCGGGTAGAAAGTGTTTGTTTGTTGGTTCTTTTTAGTGAGAAATACTCGATCATATTCTAATGGAAACATTGCTACCCAAAACATGGATAATTGAACGTTTTCATCACTTCAAGAAAGGATAAGTGAATCTAGATATGCACAGACTCTGGCCATCATCACATGAATGAACGAAATATTACTCATTTGGAAAAGGTTTTAAATAGAAAAGCCAAGTGGAAAAAAGTTTGAATAATTTGGGATTGATTTTATAGGACACAAGTGTTTGAATATCCAAAGTAGGTACTTGGCACTCGCACACTTAGGAAAAGATTAGGCACTACAAGAAAACAATGTTTTAGAATCGTCCAAAAGCCCCCTCTAACAACAACAAAATCGAGGTGTTAGCGTCAGTCTAGCGTAGATGTCAGGGTGGTATCTTCGAAGCTCGAAGATAACAGCAGTCTGAAGCCGATGCTAATCTAGTGTCGGCTATACTTAACGCTAAGGGACACTACCCATGATCCAGAGGTCTATGCAAATACAAATATAGCATCGGCTTTGAGCGGCGCTGATGTTTGACACGGAGATTGGATTTACCCTTAACACATAAAACATTATATTTGTTGGTAGCGTCGAATTTTGGGGCCGCTACAGTGCGCCACATGTTCGCTTATGATTGTATCACACTCAAAATAATTACCTTCAAAGTTTAGTGTCGGTGTCAGCCGACACTATAACCTTCAATGTTATTATTAGCATCCCTTTAAAATAGCATACGCTAATATTTTTTTCCTATTTCTTGAAACCTGCTTTTGTTTACGCTTATGAATTATAAAACTATGATACAATAGAATCATTTTACAACACATAAATTTTTTTGGTCAAACCAATAACTATTATTAAACATAATTTAACCGTTTTAAAATAAAATTAAAAAAATTTCAAGTACACCAATAAATTGAAAAATATGATACAATACTCATAAATCTCCATTGTGATACAATACTGAAAATTCTTCATAGTGATACAATACTGATAAATCTTCATAGTGATACAATACTGATAACACAATCCTATAATCAAAAGAGTTTACTTATACATGCCAAGCTGTACCAAAATAAGTATAATTATAAGTAAAAATAGACATAAGACATAAGACAATCTAGACATAAATTAACTCTATTAATCATTATCGTCATCATCATCAACAGTAACAGCAGGATCAACATCATCTTCCTCATCCTCCTGCAACATTTATAAAACAACATAAAAGTTAGCATCAATTATTTGGTGGAATAATATCACTTGTTACAAGAATTGAGTGAGAAATAAAACTAGACTCCAAATATGTTTGAACAATCAATTAAATAAAATTTAATAGGGAAATTCTCAAGATGCATAATATAAAACCTACCAAACAAAATTTGATTTCAAGTTAACACAACCCAGACAATAGGAATTTTCTAGATCAATTCAGTTTAGTTCTAAACAAAAGTTGTTATTGACACACCAAAACCAGATAGGTTCAGTGCATTATGCATCAGTTCATATATCCACAATTCATGAATGGCCATGCACACTGGCAAAAGGAAATTATGCACCAATGCAGTCCAAAACAACAAAATAGATCAGCATACGTCTAAATCAGTTCCAATCATATCAATGCAGTTTAAACCGAAGAAAAAAAGCCTCAGAACAGATCATGTGTCATAATTCAAGTGCATAAAAAAGGTTCCGATAAAAAAAACCATTCCCATGTGAATACTAGGTACAATTTCCATGGCAAAGGAGGCTGTGGAGGACATAGACGCATTATCTGAGACTGAAAATGTCCATAAAAAATCATTCTCAGGTGAATACTAGGTACAATAATGAACATGGAAAACCAAAATTAAAATATGTTACTGATGTTTCACTGCACATGTTGCAGTGGTTGTTGCATGGAATATAAAAGGTTTAAAGAGAAGGCAAAACTCAGAAAACCCATTGTGTGTGTCTATTATGAGTGCTTATTTTAAGCAAGAGTTTGATGAGGCAAAAGTTTGATAATACAGCCTAAAAAAAGTTCTTTAAGACAGAGAGAAGAAAAACAAAAAATAGAGTTATGCATACAAACTACAACCAACTATAAACATGGCACAAACTACAGTTAGATGATAGTGTATAAAATATGTTATTGAATATAAATAAGACAAAGAGTTAGATAACTTACCATTTTAACAAACCATTTTATCAAACATGTATTTTTACTCGTCTAATAAGTTTCTAACAATTACAACAACACATTTTCAACATAATTTTATTTATATTTTAAAGATTGAGATATGTTCACTCCTAACAAAAATTATCGATAGTACATGAGGATGTGCTAATATACAACAATAGAAGCAAATAGAGAATCTTTAAGCAAGGTGATACCAATTGATTAAAAGAAATTTATTTCTCAATGGATAAATTATGAACACAAGAAACAAAGCAAATGAATTATCCTCATACCAAGTCCTCCTCCAAATTTTAGATCTAAAGAAAACTTAAACTAAAACTAAATGTATGCATATAATTTACCAACAGAGAGTCACAAAAACAAAAACAAAAACAAGAAAATTATTTATTAGAGAAAAATGACCAAATGACACAAATAACCATAAACAAATGGTTCATAAACCTACAAACAAAAGGTATCTCCACAACAAAGAAACAACAAATCTAAAACAAAATTGATTTCAAACCACTAATATAGTAAAATCAAAGCTATTAATGTAAAATGAGCATAACCACAAAATCATATCGAAACGCCATAATATATAATAACTATTCTTCTCCTTTTATCACAATTGTTAACAACTGGTTAAGTCAACAAACAAGACAAATACAGAAATTTGTTGAAGTGTTTTTATGGATATCAAGTTTAATAATATTGTGTCTGCAGACACAAAAAAATGTAAAAACAAAAAGAGAAAGAGATGAAAGTCAAAGGAGTAGTAAAAGTACCGAAAAGTTATAATGAGAATGTTCACTCGGAGGAGCACTAGAAGGACCCGTATGACGAGACTGAAACATATCAAACATTTGTTTCCTAAATTCCTCAAATTGCTTTGCCAATTCATATATCTGCTCATTAGCCCGTGCATCCTCTTCACGTGCAACAACAGTATCAGCTTCAGCTCTGGCAACCTCAATGGCTTGGTTATCTGCTTCTCTATTGGGGTTTATAATTGACACATGTGTCAAGAAGATAACTCCATGTCTTACATTGTGCGCCAATTGTGCAACTCCATAACACCGCCCCTGCGATTTACCTCTGACAGCTTCTTTCAACATTTATATTCTTGTTGATCCATCCACATCATCACTAGTTTAAGTGGCTTGTGTAAGACTACTCGTGTATTTTTTATGTACAACATAAGATTAATGTGTCAAATATTATTGTAATAAGAAATTGAAACCATAAAATTAGACTCTACATCTGAGTTTATAGAATGTTAGTGAAAATGAATGTGCAGAAAGTATGTTCCATGTTCAACACACATTTACATTTACACAAAGTAACAACAGCCAACAGAAAACAAAAAAATGAAGAATTAAAACTCAAACAACCATATCAGCATATGAAACTCATATGCAACCTTTACTTCTCACTTCTCTCCTCTTTCTCACTTGTCTGAAACTGAATTGTAAGATGGATCTTCGAATCAAGATATGTAGCTTCTCTTTGTTTTGTGAGTAATTGATTCCTTGCTTATAGATAATTATGCATAAGTTTCTTGATTCAGTTTTATGGCATTCAGCCACACTTTCTTCTTGAGAGATTCTTCGATACCCACTGGTTCAGAATCTACTAACATTGCACATTGTATGACTTCTCCTTCGGAATCAACTTTAGTGTCTTGCAACATGTCAAACTCTACAATCCTTCTTGGTATTTGTCTGAGTCTTTGTGGTCTCTGAACTTGTTTTGAATCTTCTACAAAACTTGGAACCGTGTTAGCTTCTAGACCTCGTCTATAACCACCACATTCAGAAGTACCACCTTCAAAAACATGATCACCTCTAGAAGCTTGTCCTGCAGAACCTACGTCTTCAGAGTTTTCCCTTCCAGAAACATGATCTCCTCCAGATTCTAGATCATCAAAATTTGGATCAGAATCAACTTCACCATCATAGTCACCTTCATATTTGACTCATCCTCAGAGTCTTCAGCATCATCTTCTAACTCTGGCTCTTCTTGAGAACTTTCTAGTTCTGACTCATCTTCAGAACCTTCTGAAGTACCTTCATAAGCTAACTCAAGTGTTGACACTACACCAGAATTCGATTGAGATTTGCTCAAATCTCATGCTTCTAATTCTTTCGCAATGACATCTCTATTGGCTTCAACTTTATTAGTTTCAAGACAATAAAGCTTGTACGCATCTGTATTATGGTACCCCACCAGCAACATCACTTTTCTTCTATCATCCAACTTCTTCCTCTTTGAATTTGGAACATGTTTATAGCAAACAGAACCAAAAAAATTGAGATGACTCACACTTTGCTTATCACCAGTCCATTCCTCCAAAGGAATAATTTTCTTCAGCTTCTTTGTTGGACATCTGTTGAGCACATATGTTACAGTGTGTAATACGGTGGGAGAACTAACTTTACTGGTTTTGCGTTTTATCGCAAATGTTCCGGTTAACAAGAGTCGCCACCGAATTTTCTTTTATCCAATAAAGGAAAGACTGAAAAGAACAGGAAATACCTTTCGAGAATTTTTTTGAGTAATGAGGTAGGTTATGAAAAGGGAAGGTGTTAGCATCCTTTTCATCCGTAGTTATCTACGGACTCTTAGTTGCTAGCTCACTTTGAAAATTTTTTTGTGTAAGTGTGTTTTTTATAAATATTTTGAAAATATGCCTTAGTGCGGAAAACTTTATAATGATTCTCGTATTGTTGAGAACGCATACAAAGTGTTTTTGTCTTTGAAAATATTTAGAAAATGAGAGCGTATGTGTGAGAAATTTGTTTTGTTTTGTTAGCAAGCAACTACAATCTATCTAACTACTCAAAAGGTCTTTTGTTATTTTCCTTATTTTCTTTAGATAGTGCTATCCTACCATTAGTTGGTAGGTAGCCCCATCATTGGATATTTTGAGGGACAGGCGCAGGTCATCGTACAGTCATGAAAGAAACTCGTAAGATATTTTAGAAATTACCCTAAGGTACTAAGATCATTTACCGAGGCAGCACCGAAGGGTCATCGAGGGACTATGATCTTTTAACCAAAGAGCCTTTGCTAAAATTTCCCATGTTCGAGAGATGTGACTGTTTATTTACCGAAGACAACAAGTGGGGGTACCTTGGAGGTGCACGCGTGTGAAGTATGTTATATTTCAGTTATTTATCTTTCAAGGATCTTTTAAGGAGGCCATCTTGTATGGAGGTTTTATGATCTTAGGAATGGCAGAAACATCTTCAACAGCAGCAGGGGAGATCACTTCAAAGGTTTGACAGGGTGTTTCAATGAATTCTCCGTTCATTTCTATGTACTGGAATGAATTGAGGTAGCCTACCATATACTCCTCCTCCCTATAGACAGTAACAACCTTCCCTTTTACCGGATACTTTAGCTTCTGGTGCAAGGTGGAGGTGACAACACTTTCCCCATGGATCCAAGGGAATCCTGTGATACGGTGGGGGAACTGACTTGAGTTTTGCGTTTGTATTCGCACTTGTTCGGTTTAGCAAGAGTCGCCACCGACTTTTTATTTTATCCTAAAGGAAAGGTTAAAAAGCACAGGAAAAACCTTTTGAGATGTTTCGTGGGTTCGGGGGGTAGATTATGGAGAGGGAAGGTATTAGAACCCTTTTCATCCATGGTTATCCATGGGCTCTTAGTTACTTGGTTTTAGATCACTTGCCTTGATTTTTGATTGCTTGAAATGGTGTGTGTATTTGTGTTTTGAAAATGTTTTGAAATAGACGCCTTTGTTTCGACAACCGTTGTAATGACTCGTGTTTGAGTATATACAAAGGTGTGTATCTTTTCGAAAAGATGTTTCAAATGTTTTTGAAAGTTTGTTTTGAAAGTGTTCGTGGAGTGTGGTTTGAAAAGTAGGCAAGTGTTTTTTTGTAAGTTGATCAAGTAACTAAGAGTTTTGTCTACCCCTAATATACTCAAAGGTTTTTCTTATGTTTTAACCCCTTTTTGACAATTTTGTTCCACCATTGTATTTGGTGGACAATCTTGCGTTTAGGATGTTTAACGGGACAGGCGCGGGTCATCGTATGGACCATGAATGCAATGGTGCCAAGTGTCTTTGGAAATTTGCTTGAAGGGACTATGATCATTCCGTTTAGGCAACTTTCGAAAGCGTCATCGAGGGACTTGTGATCATTTTGAATTGTTTTGCCAAAGAAAACTCGACGTGCAAGCATGGCCCATTTTGGAAGGCAACGAGTGGGATTACCCTAGGGGTGCAAGTGTGATTGTGTATTGATTTCATGTATTTGTCTTTGTATTAGGTTATCTAGCGTTTGATTTTATGTACATACAAACCCTAGGTCTAACCATGGTATATTTGAAAGCGGTAAATTGCGGGAATTTAAAGTCTATGCTATTACAAGTAAGTATCCGGGAGTGGGGGTACAAATTTACAAATGGGGATGAGACTTTAGGAGCATAGCGTCCAAATAATTACAACCAAATCGAATTGCGATCGCAAAATGTAATAAGTATCAAATGTACAGCAATATATAAGAATAAAGCGAATGTGTATGTATCAAGGTATTTGTGTATTGTATTTGTATATGTAATTTATTTACAAGTTGAGAAATGTTAATGTATTATTAAGCATGTATTCTTGTTTTGTATTTTGGTTAAGTATGTACAAAGGAGAAAATTTTAATAAAAGAAAGGAAAAAGTTTTAAGTTCTATTTTTTAGGTTTTTAATTAATATTTTTATGTATAAAAAAAAGATTTTTTAAGAAAAGAAAAAAAGAAATGTTTCGGGTTTAATTATATGTATTAGTGTATTTTTATGTATAAAAGGAAAAGAAAAATGTTTCAATTTTGAGAAAGAATTAATGTTTCAAATTTGAGAAAAAAATAATATGTTCAAGATTATTATTATGTTATAAAAAAATGGTATTATTAATAAAATATTGATGTAAAAATAATGTGTTAATTTATATATATAAAAAAGGATATGATAAGTAAAAAAAAAAGTATAAGTTTGAAAGAATCAAAAACGGGCTTTAGGGTTTTAAGCCCAATGACTAATAACCAGGATAATGGGCAAAAGGGGGTGCACTCAGGAAGAACAAAATGGGCTTTAGGCGTTTAGAAAGGGCAAAGGCCCAAAGGTCTCATAACGTTTTGCAAGGGTTTAGGATGTTTGTTCATTTGGAAACGGCTTAGGGTTTGTAACATGCAGAGGCGCCATTTTCATTCGTCTTCGTTCCTTTCATCTCTCAAGTCCAGGGCCATTGATTCCTGAACGAAAACCTCCCACACCTATCCACCAACGCCATCGTCCGTCGTCCTTCCTCCATGGATGAGCGTAGTAGCGCCAAGAAACGGTAAAAGCAAATCTCTTTTATGCCTTAGCTCTTTTTGATTTCATGTTTTGATTGAGTGCTATTATTGTTTCTGATCGGGAAATATTGTTGTTTGTTTATTTGCGGAGCGTTAAAGGAATGAGAAGAAAAGAATACTACCTTTTGTTGGAGGAGGACGGTGGATCTGGAGGCGTTTGGAGGGCCAGGGGAAAGGAAACGCGTGATGCTGGACTTTGGCTGGAAGAACCGGTATTTCGTATTTTTGTTTCACTTCTTTAGGTTTAATGATGGACTTGAAAACCTAGCTTCTTTATCTTCCATTGCTTCTTCTGTCTCTTTGCCTTGTACACTTTGACTCTGAAACAACTTGCCTTTGCAATCTTCTTTTTCTCTTCTTCCTGTCTCTTTGTTGCCTTGTATGTTTGCCTATGATGAAAGTTTTCTGAGGTTGTTTGCTTGCTGAGTATAGTTGTTGATGTTGGTTTGAGTTGCCTTTATGATGTTGGTTTGAGCTGCCTTGATGATGTTGGTTATACTGAATATGCTTGTGACTGTATGCTTGATGGTATGTTTGATGGTATGTTTGGTTGCCTGTGTACCCTGAGATATTTGTTGATGATATGCTTGAATGTTTTGATATCTTGTTGTTAGCCCAGTGATGAAGGTTTTCTGAGGGCTTGATGGGTGGTTTGAATGCTGGTAAGGCTTGCTTCAAGTTAAGCTTGGCCTTTGGTCAGGTTTGGATATTGGTGAGCTTACAGGTTTTTTGAAAAAAGGCTTT